CGAGGCATGTGATTGGCCGGCCGCTCATACCGAGGCATGTGATTGGCCGGCCGCTCATACCGAGGCATGTGATTGGCTGGCCGCTCATACCGAGGCATGTGATTGGCCGGCCGCTCATACCGAGGCATGTGATTGGCCAGCTGTCCATAGGCTCATCCTGCATTTCCAGACCTGGGGTTTCAGGCACTTTGTTCAGGTCCAGGTCCAGGTACTATGTCATCACACAAGCTGCCACCTTATACATATGGACAACAACTAAACATGCAAGGAACGGGAGGAGCTGTGAGGGAGAGCTATGAGGGGGAGCTGCGAGAAGCTGTGAGGAGGAGCTGGGAGGAGGAGTTGGGAGGGAGAGAAGTGAGTAGCTGTGAGGAGGAGCTGCGAAGGAGAGCTACAGTATGAGGAAGAGCAGCAAGAAGCTGTGAGGAGGAGCAGTGAGAAGTTATGAGGGGGAGCAGTGAGGAGGAGGTATGAGAGCTGACAAAGTGTAGAGCCATCAAAACGGCCTGTATTGATCATCGACACATACTGGCAGCCAGACCTCCATGAGCAGAAGCAGCCCCATGCCCTCGTCCTGCCGTCTGCCAGGACAGGCCAGCAAACATGTGAACATCCAGCATGTCCTCGCTGTAATGTAATGTAAGGCTCATGTCGGACTTATACCTTTAATGATCCCAGAAGTGCGAGGGGTGACGTCCTCACATCATACGTCTGTGTATGGACTGCTGATGTAATTATGGTGATCTCACCATATTCCTGACCTCATTTCAGGAAGTCCATCTTCACTGTGCTGTTAACACTGCCTGATTTTCACACAGTCATGCAGACACACCCTTAACCCCATCCCTGGTAGCCAGCTGTGAGGCGGGGACGGGTACGTTGCTGTGGTAACGAGGGGCTGGCAAGACGCGTGTGACAGGAGTGGCGTGTTAATCCAGCCGCGGAGCCCCTCCCTGTGCTTCTACTGCGGTGTGCTAAGATCACCACCTCGGACGTGGACAAAAACGGCCACTGTCTGATGTCCAGAGCAGCCGAGTGGGTCCCTGGTGTGGCTGGGAGAGGCCCGTCCCTGCAAGAGGGAGATGGGCGGGGCCAATTTTCATCTCTCCATTTTCAGGCAAAGGAAGAGGGAGATGGCGGGGCAGGGAGGATCCTGCCGTGGAGGGGCAGGCAAGACAGTGTCAGTGTGCTGTCAGGCCCCAGTCAATGCCCTCACATGTGAACTCATTACTCCAGCTTCCCGGGGTTAGCGGCTGCTCAGACCAGCGATCGATCTCGGCGAGGGACCCGAGGGGTGGGTGGGGGTGGGCACGCGGAGGAGGGGAAAACAAACAAACCACACAGTAGGAAATGCAGGTGCACCCGCACACACACACACACGCGCACACACGCACACATACACACACACAC